CAGTGCTATATATTATATAAATTATTTGGATTTGGAGGCAGAAATGACTCCAATTTGTAGAATTGGCGACAAAAACACTCAAAGATAGACGCAATGCTATTCATTGATATTAATATATGTTTTTTATAGCGATTAGAGTCGCCCACGTTTATGCCCCCCGTTCCCCCCAGTCATACACATCACATCACTTTCATTTGATTATAAATATAAAAATTGACAACAGATTACATAATATACACATCTTTACAATTTGTTGTTTAATAGATAAAAGTAAAGATTTTGCAAGAGTTGTGTGAAAGAGTGAAAGAGGTCTGTCTGGCAATGATTGCCAATAGTTCGTACATTTGATAGACAAAGAAAGTGAAAGGAAATGAGTTTGTCATTACCTGCAGCACATAATGCGATGAATGTTTGCGCGTGTTTTCTGATGAGCTTCTGTACTTCGGATACTTTTGGCCATTTGTGAAGTCTTCTGAGAAGAATGTTTAAAAAGTCGTTTGGAGTGATTGCTGCCAAATCCCATTTCAGTCTATTGAGCACTAATAACTCCCAGCCCTATACCGCAGAGACAAATAATAAATTGAATGAAATTCTTTTATGTGAATGAAATTTAACACTAACTTATTAAATACAAATACTAGTATACGATAGTCAATAGAGTAAAGGCATATGGAGTTAGTGTTTGTTTAGAGAAATTGTTGATATGATATGACAAACAATAGGAGAGTAAAGTGAATGTTAAGGTGTTTGCAATGAGAGCGCATTCTTTGATAGCCCCAACATAAGGCTATACTCTTATAGCATATACTTATGCAACACTTGGCATCACAGGTGAGTAGTGGAGAGAAAACCATCATTTCATTCACAAAATACCTGACGCTTGGAATGTGTAGGGAATGACAAAGACTGGAAGGATGCCGGTGGTAGTGGTCGTATGTCGGCCCTCTGTTGTACCTATTCTTTCGGTCGCATATTTTTTATACTCTCTTACAATACTCAATAAGAAGGGCCTTCCGGTGCGTAAGGACTCCGAGGGAAACATCTTAACAATAAAAAATATGCGGTCTTATAGTGAGATTGCAATTGTGAAACCATTTCCACAGCATTTCGGTAGTTGTCGAGTACAGTACGGTAGGGCCTGTTGTGTTCACCTGTTCTGTTGGAATGCGAGTACGCTATGGATTCATATGTATTCAAATGATCTGGAATTATGAATGGCACCCAAACCTGTGGAATGGCACCGGCATTCCCAACACATTGTACGACAAGTTGACAAAATTCAGAAGGGACTCACGACTCAGGTATTTGATAATAAATAACAAATGCGGCAGAGAGAGAGAGAGAGAGAGAGAGAGAGAGAGAGCTGGAAAAGTGCACAATTGCATAGCAATAGAGAATATGCGAATAGAATAAGAGAATAGAGTATAGAGTATAGGAAAGGTATGGAAAGGTAAGGAAATGTGTGATTCTTACCATTAACTCGTCTATTGTGATAGACTTGTCTGTGTATACAATTAGTTTGTCGGCAGAGAGGGGACGCGTTTGCCTTAATTTGGAGGCTAAGAAGAGGGAGACTGAGCCGAGTAATTGTAATTGACTTTTGCGGATTTTGACAATCGCTAGAAACCGGTCCAAAATATTCATTGCCAGTGGAAATACCTCTTCTTGACAGCGCTCTTCTTCACATACCTTCAAACAATTGATAAGAATTTAACTCAAACTGTAAGACAACAATCAAATCGTATAACAATAAAATACATTCAAAGAGATCTCTTAAGCAAAAGTTTTATATTTTCTTTTCACTAAATTATGCGATAATTTAAAAGAAATATTTAACAAATATTTGAACCAATCTTTCAAATGATTAGTAAATGAAAAGAAAGGGAAGTGTTTTGCAGTGAATTCTTGAGATTTACTTTTAGTTTCTTTGTTTTCTTTGTCTAAGACTTGTATCTGTAAAGCATTTGCGAGTTAATTGATTCCCAGATTCACAGATTCAATGCTCACTCGATAAGATCACCACATGTTTCACTCCATTTGCATTCATTTAATGCATTTAATAGCTATTTATAGAGAAAGTCTCATATTTTACTTAATATCATATCTCTCTTCCTTTAGAGATTGTGTTTTCATTTTTGAGAAAAAACTTATTTTCACACCAAATACCACTCATGAGTGCATCTATTCACTGGGTTTGTGGTATTAACTAAACTGATTACAAGCTCTACGCAAACACTCACCAATTTGGACACAGGTGTTGTCTATTCAAACAGGTATTTCATATTTCATGGGATGCAAATAAGTATTTAATAAGTATGCCTGGGTATTTGTTTGATTAAAAACTGTACGACAAGTGTTTGAGTGAAAGGAGACCCGAAGTATTGGAGATAAAAGTATTTGATATGAAAACGTTGTTTTGACTGCAAATAAGCATTTTTGAGACAAAGAGTGGTATAGTATGGGTATAGCAGGTGGTGGTGGTGTTGGGGCAACAGGTGTACTTTGGACGGTAACACATACCTCGAGCATCCAGTTTGCCACCACTTTCCTCATGTGTGGCTTGAGTTCAGTTTGAAAGCACTTGAAGTAAGAGGAAGAGATGGTATATCTCTCTTCGGTGAGCATCAGATTCTTAAGGATGCGGTCGTCGTCCAGAAAGACGGGATCACTGATGGCTTTGGGCTCTCTATTGACTTCAATACAGAACAGATCCATCGTTGGCAGAGATATAGTCTTAACATTCATTAAGAAATCTTTTTCATTACTCTATGATAAGCAGAGTTAGAGCTTAACTATTGTCACAAACTTTGTTCACTCTATTATAGTTCAGTATTACTGTAGCTATACTGTAGTGGCGATCAGTGCTGGCACTCAACCAGTCATTCAATGAATGAATGCGTGAATGCAGTCCACGACAGCCTCTCTCATCCCAAACATCAGACCAACACTAATGCATACGTTAGGCCTTTGAAGGCTATTCTCAAGACGTGAATCAGTTTGAGAAAACTGAATAACCTGCACACCGCGCATGTCCAGACATTATCTCAACCGGTCTATTGCCCCGGGATATCACATACCGTACCGTTTGCTGTCTCCATCCACACATCCATACTCTCTAATTGTCATCTTAAGCACAATCACTGACCACCACCACTACCACCATCACTACAACCGCACCAATTCATTGCTCATTCAATCACATATTCTACAGACAATTAAACTTATAGTATAAATACAACACAACTTACAATCAATTATTGCTTTTTCATAAAGCAATTTCCAATATCCTGTTTATTAGTATGCAGTTCTCAAGTCAAGTTCACATACATTTTCGCTAACATCAAGCCTATTGACTCAATGCTTACTTTGCTATGCCTAAGGAAGTCGGCAATCAACATTTATTGTTCAAAGTGGCAGCAGTTTTAATTAATTCGAACTAAAAAAATTGAATTACTGTTCCTAACGATAATCACGAATGCTTAAATATACCGATACAGTATAAATACACAATACAATCAAATATTCAGTTATATTAGCAACTTAATACTTTTATTTATAAAATTATTTTTCTGTCTCACTGAACATTTAAATCAGATAAGAAATTCTGTATTATAAAGGCTGTAGTACAATTGCCTGAATACATACAAAATTTTCTCTATATATAACTTACTTATAATTTATAATTGAAATATGAAATACTGCAGTATAGAATGCAATGGAAATTTTGGTTAATGCAATAGTTAATTATAAAAATAAATTACAATGAAGAAAATTACGATTTTATTATAGAAACTCGGGATCTTTTAATAGTTAAGTACGCTCTAGGTCCACCGTAATCCAAAATGTTAATTTCCTATATACGAAAGGGTTATATATGAGGAAGGGCCAACTTTTGTAGATAATATTAAGAACGTACTTATTGATTGACCTTATATTCAGTCCTAGTTAATTAAACTGCTGCCACTTTTGAACAATAAAAGTTGATTGGAGGCTTCCTTAGGCACTAGCAAAGTATGCTTTGAGTCAATAGGCTTCATGTAAGTGAAAATGTGTAGTCAAGTTGGTGTGGGATCTGACCTACTATTGCCTTATTGTCTATTTTAATGGACTATAGCATAGTATGTGTGACCCTCTCTACCATACATTCATCCCCTACACACCTGACCATTATTTTGAACACATTCTCTGCAGTTTGCAAACAAACACAAGTGATGCTTAAATTTAAAAATTTAATAATAAAAATAAAAAAATAGAAAACAGAGGTTTAATGGTATTGACAAAACAATCTTCGAGATAACAATCTTCGAGATCTTTGATCTATAGGTTTACAGTTTGGCATACATTCAGATCGGTTGCAAATATGAATAGTATTACATGAATATCACGAATGGTCTTCGATATCGAAACTGAAGTCCAAATCAATATAATTTGATTTTAAGGGACAAATAGGACTCAAATGTGAGATACGCTTAGAGAGCGATGTATTCCTCCAATCGGGTGAATAGATGGGAGACA